CTTCACCGACCATCGACCTCAATGCAGCAACTTCAAAACCCCTCCATCTTCGTCTTCGTGGTCGTCACCTCTCTCTTGATACCAATGTCGCCGAACTCGCATCGCTCGTCGCGCAATATTACGAGCCGCTGTGGTAGTCTTGGGGACAAGACGCGAAGTCGACCCCTCTTGTGGAGGAGACAGGCGCCGGTACCGTAATTCATCCTTTTCTTTCATTTGAGACGATTCTTCTAGTGCATGCATATGATTTGTGTATCCATCGACTCTACCAGCTTCCGACGTGGGCGAACGGACGAGAGGTCAGGGAGACGTAGGCGAGGAGAGGCCCGCGGTGACGATCGCGCGTCCGAGGGCGGCGGGCTGCGACTCGTAAATTCGATCTCCCGCGGGGTCCGAACTCGCCGAGACAGCGCTCCCCAGTGCCAACCGTCTGGACGTACCGGGAACGAAGTCTGTCGCCGAGGACAAGGCCCCAATGATTCGGTATTTCAAAGTTTCCTTTTATGTCTGGACAGTTACCATAGATAGTAATGTTTCACGCGATTGCATCCCCATAACCAGAAAACCCCACATCTTCTTTGCTACGCGATCCGCTGTCATGTACATGTATATTAGGGTGCCCTCCCGCCCACGAATGGAGCAGTTTATCCCCCTTGAACCAAGACTTGCGCACTCGGATCAGTATTTCGGCTGGTCACGCGCTACGTCTTCGGATAAGCCACGCGAATTAGCTCTCTCATCGAACGTCCTTATCGTATTCTCGCATCGTATCTCTAGGCGACGTACTACTCTGTACTCTACTCGACCAGCGCGGTTTCTACGTCGACGACCCACCGAACGCTGCCGCGTATCTAGGCAACAATCCCCTCTTCATCGTTGCATACCACACTGTTTCTTGACTCGCTTGAGACGCAGAATTCGAGGCTCGATGTCCAAACTGCAGCTGAAGATCCGCAACCCTAGTATTGCAGCGATCAAAGTCCCTATAGAGAAACAAGCAAATATATACGTGGTCATCGACAATGCATCCCTCTTCTGGAGGCAGATCCGAAATCCCAATGGCTAGATAGTGGAAGATCGCTTGAAGCGGTACGATGTACTTCGCTTTTGTAGATGTGTCTTTGGTCAAAGAAGATGTCGTACAAAATAGTTATTTCAGGCACAGCACGGCAAGAAGCGTGTCATGATGGCTATCGCTGGAGATTGGGAAACTGTGGAGTTATCGGCACTTGAAGGGACACCGCCGTCACTTTTCTCACTGACTCAACTGGCACTGGCAACACCGCTCACTTCCCAAACCTCAACGGTGACTCCCATATGCTCTGGCAACGCTCTCCATACCGTTCTCCGCCGTACGAGCTCTCTCTCGTACAATGTCTTCTGGCAATGCTTACAGAGCAAGTTCGCCGCCTCGATATACTTGTCCCATGAGGAGAGGACGGACGTCCGCGCGAGCGACTGGCACTTGAGTATCTCGTTGGGAATCGCCTTGATCAGTTTCGTGCAGCTGCGTGGGTCGCTGCACTGCTCGCTGGTTTGGAGGCAGAACGTGGTGTGGAGTCCGTGCGCGTTCTGGGAAGCGAGATGCGCGATCCCATCCATGCATCGTGCTAGGTCCTCCTCGGACAAAGCCTCGACGGTACCACCCAAGCGAGTGACGCCTTTCGAGAGGACGAGCTTGTCCAGCTGACAGCAGCCGTACAAGGCAGTAGGAAGCATGTTGTCTGTCTCCGTGAGACGGGCCAGGTTCACAACGGCGATGGCATCGCTCTCCTGCATGGTAATCATAGGAGGAATCTCAGGCTCATCACCCAGCCTGCCGCAGAATACATGGAAGCTGTCCGTGAAATGCGTCTTTAGGCGGTTGAGGGCAGCGTCACATAGCTCGCATATCTCATATTCTTCGCCAAGACGAACCAGCGTCGCGATGACCTCGAATGGTACCGGAATATCGCGACGCAGGAATCTGCAGGACAACTGTCAGCTCTGGGCATTCCAGACGACACGTATGGAGGGAAACTTTAACTTACCCGTGACCTCTCATCAGAGCACACAACAGATGACGAAATTCGTCAGGGTGCTCGGAAAAGTGTATTATGGGACAGCCATCCACGGGGTCGAACTCCTCGGGCTGCGTATCATTGAACAGGGAGCGGAACACCACGGATTGCGCTGCGAGTAGGCCTTTGTAGACCCGGAACCCAATCCCCCTCGCAGTGAGAATAATGCTGCCGTCCTCATACCATAACTCCTTGTCGCGTTTATAGTCTGAATTGCCGACATGTCGCGGACCGGTGGCATTCTTTCGTTCAATGTGCTTGCGTGTGCCCGACGTTGACTTATGCATGGGTCCCATTACGGAATGGAACCAATTGCGTCGTAGATAGAAAAAATAGTCAGGCTTGGGCGAAGGTTATACAGAATGATTTCTGCGATGAACAGGTGCGATGAGACCCGATCAAAGCGACGCGATGACTTGCGTCGTTGCTTGCTATGTCTAACGACCACCTATAAGGAAGAGTAAATTTCCAGTCAGCACATCATCGGTATACTAGCTGGCAGCAAATGATATGGGTCAACGAACCTCAGGCGCGCAGAAATATCACGACGGCGCGAGTCGCCGCGCGACTAATAGGCTGAACCGGCAGTATATCTGTATGTTGCCTTATAGCCTGACGAAAGTCCTGATGAATATCTGTACAGCTAGCTGGTTCAGTGTCTTCGCCATGCATCTGCTATGCAATGGTAGCCAAAGCGAAGAAAAATCGACGCCGCCCACGCGATTCGAAATAGACGCCCGTGATAAGGCGAGCCTTGCCAAAATTCGCCATTGACATCGCTATACCTAAGGCGGCTGAAGCGATGCAAACTCGCGCATCGAGGTCATACTATTATGCGTGTTGAGCCTAGCATGAGCCCCCTTTAAATTGAACTACACACTCATGACGTTACAGATGTTTTCGTATATGTCAAACAAGGCTCTTCAGATGTGGATTACTGCGTTCCACTCCCACCTGCTCTCTGCATCTTCACCTGGCCCCCTGAGACCATGATCCGTATTGCTCGCGTAAATCACTGCCGCATCAATGTCCTGCATGTAGTTGTGTCGATTGCAGCTGCCCAGGCCTGGATATGTCATAGAATGATAGCCTATCTCACATCAACACGGCGATGATCAAATATCAGGATCGGATGGCAAAGGTTCTGATACGCCGCCTATGGAATCTCACCTTATGCATGGTGTATAAGCGGCATCGGCATCAGCTCTGCAGACAAAGTCCAGCTTTAAAGTCGTCCTGTAACAAGTGCCATACTCTTTCACGCTCTGCACGGTATTTCGAGACTAGCGTTTTCTCGCATCCCTCGCAAAGCTGAAACTTGCGAGCTCCATCTATGATGGCCGCATGCCACGATTTGGAGGGGATCGTCGTCGGCAACTGGGAAATATCGAAGATAGACTTCCATATCTGTGTCAGCGTCACGGCACGAAAGCTGGCTCTGGCAAGGTGGACTAGGCACCGCACTGACGAATACACGTGCGAGACAGTCCTCGTGAGTGGCTGCTAGCCATACTTTCCCGTTTATGCAGTTGGCCAAATCCTTCTCCGGGAGACGATCTTTCTCGCCATCCGAGCGGCGTACGCCTCGTAATAAGACGAGAGGCTGTATTTGACAGCAGTAATATAAAGCCAAGGGAAGGACGCTATCAGTGTTGGTGAGGCGCACCAAGTTCACCGCTGCTATCGCATCGGTCTACTTTACGGTCATAGTCTGAAGAGCGATGTTCTGTGCCTTGTTACCGAAGAGAGAGAAGCTATCGGTGTAGTAAGATCTCAAATACCACAAGGCGTCGTTTAGAACATCTTGTATCTCGTACTTGTGGGATAGACGGATGAGTGAGGCGATCGCATCGAAGGCGATTGGACGAGTAGGATCCAAATATCTGCAGTGAACGGTCAACCATCTCTTCAATTGAAGGCCACGAAAAACGGTGAAAGATCGACTCACTTCCACCCATACAGCAGCACACGTAACAGATGGCGGAGCTCCTGGGGGTGATCTGAGAGTTGAACAACTGGGCAGTCGTACACATGCTCAGAGTCTGCCGGCTGGGGAAGCGTGAAGACGCTCTGGAATACATCGGACTGCTGCGCGAGCAAGCCTCGATACACGCGGAAGCCGATTCCTTGGGACGAGAGGATAATGTTTCCGTCATCAAACCAGAATTCTCCATCGTGTTCTCCCGCAGCGTCCGTCATGCGTATGTCGGATGAGTTTCCATCAATGCGCTTACGCTTGCGCGACGATGAAGCTTCAGCCCGCGCTTCCATCGGTCAGCGAAAATTCAAGGGAAGTAGCAAAAAGTTCGCGACACGACGCTTTCAGTTGCAGATTGAAAGCAACGGTAGCTTTTGAAGACGGTGTTGCTGGCTGAGGGTATAGTAAAGGAACAAAGTCGCGAAAGCATAATAATAGTGGACATGACAGTCCTTATAGTGTGACGCCTCGTGTAGAGCACCTGACCGAGACTCGGCGCGTCAAACGCGCTTTCCTACGGCGATTTCAGTTCAGGGTTAGTGAAGAAGTTAGGCAAGTGTGAAGTGCATTTTGTAGCAATAGTATGCCTGGTGACGATCTAGGAGATCCTGGTGCGGCAAGGGTGTTACCCCGCTGTCACCTTCCCGTCTCATGGGTGCAAAGGAGTGAGAGGCTGGTGAGGCCACAAGCGACTGGGGCCTATGGTTCTACAGGTGTGTACTTATATGCCTTTTCCACACTTCCATGCTCGCCCGCTCCGTTTCCAGGTACCGCCCTGCGACGCGTTTCAGCCGTCACTTGGCGCTCGTCCCTCCCAACGCGTTGAGCGCGTTCTACCGAAAGTGCCGTCGGTCGGCCACTTCCAACAGACGAAGCAACAGAGGACATGTCGTCCAGATCTAAGACTGACAATTCGTGATGGGCTATGAGAGGAGAGGAACAATGAGCATGCGGTTGCCAGTGCTAGCGAGTCATAACCAGCGAAGGGAGACATCGATATGGGGCGCGCGTCGCAAAGCATCCTGGCTTGCGAAAGCGCCAGCCACTCCCCCCCTTCCTTCCCCCAATGGCAAACACAATCATATGACAAGTGGTAGTTCATCTATACAGATATTTGGTGGATATAGCGGCCCGGACACTGAGATACATACAAAAGGTCAAGCTCTCACAATTTCTTGAACAATACACATTTTACCTCGCCTTCAGGTGGAAGTTGATAACGGTGACCATGGCGATGATGCCTCTCCACTGAGTTCTTCATACACCCTCGTATACTAAAAGAATGCATCTCAGCTCAGCGCATGGTTCGCATAATCTCGCAACAGCATGTCTTCGCAGTACTTGCACATTTGAAGGCCTGCAATGCGATCTCTGATGATGTTTCTCACCCATGAACAAGGCACCTACACTGCGCTGAGGCCATTGGTAGCGAGAATGTGTTCGCACATCTGTTCGACGGCTGCCTTGCACAAAGATGCACTCTCGCAGTGTCCACTGACGGGATCAGAGAATATGCGGGAAAGACTGTTGACGTTCCGGGCCACCACTGGCAGCTGCTTCTAGCCATTCATCCGTTTGGCTATCTTCTCCGGCAACAGTATCTCGATAGTATCGTCCAGCCAAGATATGCCCCGCAAGAGGATGAGAAGTTGCAGCCGACACCAGTAGCAAAGAAGAGTTGCGGGTATGATGCTTGTGTTCCTAAGACGAGCCAAGTTCACCGCCGCAATCGCATGCATCGGTGCCACAGTGAGCGCGTCCGGAGCAGCGTGTATGCACCATCGTGCAGAAGATAGCGCAGTCATTAGCGCAGTGATATTCAAAGAACCGTAAGACATCGTCATTAAGACCTTGTATCTGATACTTGTAAGACAGCGAAGCAATGACTTCAGATGGAATTGCCTTGGAGGCAGTGAGGAGCCAGGGCCTGAGCATAGAAGATCATACATTATGACTATGATTGTTCACTAGACATAGAAAGGAGACCACTGAGACTCACTTTCGTTGTATAGCGGCACGCATAATAGATGGCGAAGCTGATTCATGAGCAGAACGACGACACAGTCGGAGTCTATGCATTCCAGCTTTGCCGGCCGAAGAAGCTGAACAGGCTACCAACAGCCTTCGTTGCTCCGATCATGGAATTCAGCTCCGGTGCGAAGAATATTGTAACGTTCCCTCGTCAAACCAGAGGTTCTCATTGGATCAGCGCGATCGGTGATGGCACCAGCTGGTGGCAACATTGCAGAATCTTCCGGTTCCGACTAGTGCGCTGTCGCTTGCGAGGCATAAATATCAAGTTCGAATGAGCGTCCGTCTGGGGTGTTCACGGAGCCTGCGACGCGTCAAAGCAGGTGAAGGAGTTAGGGAACGAGTTACGCCGCGTCTAGTCACGATCACGTGCTCTCACCTCCACCTCGCAGTAACGCGTGACATTTCGCCGTCTCCACATTCTCAGGAGTACCTCCTGACTTGTCTCAGCACCGTGAACCCTACCACGCTCGTCGATGTCGTCGTCGCAACCAGAAACCGTGCCGCGCAAGCGACAGCGCACCGACACAGATGCCCCCGTAGAGACTGAGACGACTTCCACACTGCTCGGAAAGTATACGCGCGACGATGAATTTTGGTTTGACGATGGGACCGTCATCCTCGAGGCACAGGGAACATGCTTCCGTGTCTACCGGGGATGGCTTGCGAAGCACTCCGATGTGTTCAGCAGCCTCTTTTCTCTCCCCCAACCCGCCGACTCCGAACACATCGGCGACTGCCCTGTGGTCCATGTTTCAGACCGCCCCGAGGAACTTCTGCATTTGTTGCGGGCATTGTTCAATGTGCACATGTAAGTCACATCCCTTTGTCAAGTGCACTGTATGCAGCCAGTTGATGCGAAAGCAGGTTTGATGACCATGTTACCCCGATTGAGTTTCAAGTTGTTGCAAGCATTGTTCGCATGTGTCACAAATATCAGGTTCAAGAACTCTTCGGGAATGCCATGTCCCTCCTGAAGGCATATTTCACGGATGACCTTGACATTTACTGCAAAAGGTTGCAAGGCGAATCAACGGCTTCTCCGCGTCTATCCATCGCAGCAGGAGATGCAGTCACAGCGGTCAACTTGGCTCGTCTCACCAACACCGACAGCATTCTCCCCGTTGCCATGTATGAATGCTGCCAGCTCGGAAGCAAAGCTATCGTGGAGGGCATTTCTCGCCCAGACGGCACCTTCGAGATGCTTCAGTCCACGGACCAGATCAGATGCATCGATGGGAACATGAATCTAGTGGCAGAGCATATAGGAGGCATGAATGGCGTATTTAAGAAAGAGGCATACTGCCGAAACGCGTACGGCTCATGCGGAAACATGCTCCGTGAATTACGTGCTGGCATTGTCCGAGTGCAGGGAAATGTATGGACGGCTGTGTTGGAGCCGTGGGATGGTTTCGTTCCCAAGTCGTTACAGCTCTGCCAGGACTGCCGGAAGTCATTCCTGGCAGATGATGTGGCGCGGCGCAAGAAAGCATGGGGGTTATTGCCGAAACTCATGGGAGTCAATGTCAAGGGCTGGGATAGCAGCAAGGCTGCTGCGCCTGCCTGAAACCGAAGGTATGTCTGACGTGAAAATTTATGAAACGCTGTCCTCCAAGCTGATGTGATTATGTCGCCATCACGAAGCCAGCCAAGTGTTGTTAATAAATTGTACTTGTTTATCTACCACTGCCATGCGTACCCATTCTTTCTTCCTGTTCTCATTCACCGTTGATCCTATCAATTTACTTACATGCTCGACATGTTGAAATCGATGTAATCAGTGTATATTAAAATGCTTTTTCGCAAAAGCATGTGTCAAATGCATGTGCTGCTTCTATGAACATGAGTATAAACGTTTGAGGAGATGAGATGAAGCCAAGTTTATAGTAATTACGAAACCCTACAATTCTGAGACTGCAATGCTATCTGTCAATCTCTCTGAGCTGACATTTACAATGCTGATACCTGTTGTTGCCGGCTTCCCATAGAAGTTGGAGTACGAAGCATTCAGAACTCACCCACAAGCTATGATGGTTTGAATGGTATGCCATCAGAATAGCCACGAATGTAAGCTGTAACAAAATCGTACTCGGGTCGCGGTCACGATCATGACCAGTTCAATAAGCGCCGTGGCCACTGGTTAGAACTCGTGGGTACGCCATTGGCAGCTCGTACGCGCTCCACGGACGTCATGCCCACGATGATATCTTTGTTCGCATTCTTGGCCAGGGCTCGCTTGGCGAATGGTGGTAGCAGCGTTCGTTCTTCAAAAGTAACTGTTCTCTTGCGAACTTGATGTTCTCTCGTTCACGAACCAATATCTCGACACTGTTGGCTGTGAGGACATTGAACCGCGATCTTCTTTCTCCCATTGCTAGGATCTCTATCGCAGCTGCTCTCCCTCTTGTGAACAAAGGTGATCGTCACGAATTCAACGTCTCAGGGAGTCCCCGTGAACTACACACGAACGGGTCTCGAGCTTGCCTGCAAAGTCACCAACGCCTTTCAGCCTCATCATCTGGACTACACACGCGAATGATGTCTAGTCAAGGTCCACCGACCGCGACCGAGAAGAACGTCCCCCTACACCAGGGGCAAAATCATACGAATCGTTTGATCCATGCGAAGAGCCCATACCTGCTTCAGCATGCTGAGAACCCGGTGCGTATGCAGCGCGTGCATATCGGAAGTTCTTTGGACTGACTCACTTTTTGACGACCTGCTTGGATGACTATTTCAACTGTGATGGACAATTACAATTATCATGTTGTAGGTGGACTGGTATGAATGGGGTACGGAAGCATTCGAAAAGGCCAGGAACGAAGCCAAACCGATTTTTCTCTCTGTGAGTCCCTCGTTACATGTACATTCCCCTTTCTCTGTCTTGCATAGCTGCCAAGTTCCAGACCCTGTCAATTGTCGATATCTTGATGCCTTCATTCGACTACTTGCTCATACCACTCGCTAACATTCCCCCAGGTTGGATACTCTGCATGCCATTGTATGTAGACTCTTTCTGATAGTATAGGCACCGTCGCATTATTTCTATGCGACCATTGCCTTTCGCGCTTCGCTCGTTTCATGTGTCATGCCGAACAACGACCATGCTAATATGTTCTTGCTGCGCGTAGGGTGCCATGTCCTCGCACATGAATCGTTCGAGGACCCTATTACCGCGAAGCTCATAAACGAGCATTATGTCAATGTCAAGGTCAGTATTAGTGCGATACTTGAGAATACATGCCAATGCTCATCTTCTGGGTGCATATATGCATATATATTCTGCTCTCACGTACGCCTTCTCGATTGCAATATGCCATTCTCACGTTCGCCGCCCTCACGTCCACCGACGTTCACGTTCCTCGAACCATCATCGATGTCGACATTTGAACTTGATTCTTCCGTTAACTTATCATCTCGCCACTGTCTGCTTCGCCGACTTTACTCGCTTACACTGTGCAGGTCGACCGTGAAGAGCGCCCGGATGTCGACCGGTTGTACATGACGTTCCTTCAAGCCAGCACGGGCGGGGGAGGATGGCCCATGAGTGTCTGTGCGTATACGATCTTTATCGCGAAGTCCGTGGGATTGCTGACGATGCCTTGCGCTGCTTGCTGTGTGCACTTCGTTACACTTAAATTATTTGGCCTACGATGTTGATCGTTTCGTTCATGGATGTCTCATATGTCACTTCTTGTCTTGGCTCGCAATTGTGATGTCTGCATGTCGATATGCAGGGCTCACGCCGGAGCTCGAGCCATTCTTCGCAGGGGTACGTACATCTGCGATATTCATATAATGATATCGAGCATTGACGAGTCTTCCATTCATGCACATCGTAATCGGATTCTAAACCGCATGTATGCGCCGCGACTTGTCAAATTTTCATTCATCTCCCCTGTCCTTCTATTATCTGACCTTGTCATGTGTCGTTGTCTACTCGGATCCTCAACGAAACGACACGCGTCTACTCTCTTCTTGGCTAACTGTGTCGATAAATACAGACGTACTTCCCGCCTGGAAAATTCCGCCAGGTCCTTAGCAAGCTCGCTGAGGTGTAAGCCTTGTCATCTCTCAAGCGAAGGTGAACAAAGGCTGATCGATCACGCGATGTGCCATGCTTTCATAGATGGGAGGACGACCCGGATCGGTGCCGCAACGCAGGCAAGCAGGTTATCAAGCAGTTGAAGGAGTCGAGCGAGGTGCGTGCTCGTTCCTTGGACACCGTATCCTTAGCTGAATTCCATCTAGTCCTCCCCCAGTGCAGCACACTCGTCAGTCGCAGCGATCGCCGTGCCTAAGCTCGCAGCCGCTGTCTATACACGGCTCGCACGGCGCTTCGACGAACAACACGGCGGGTTCGGGGGGGCGCCGAAGTTCCCGCAGGTCGGCGGGACGCTTGGTTTCCTCGTGCGATATGCGGCGCTCAACATGCGAGAGGGAACGTCTGCATCTGCGGAGAGTCCGGACGAGGTGTTGGCGCACCTTGACGCGGAGGCGGAGGAAGGGCTGGAGGAGGCCCCGCAGAAGGCCCGCAACATGGCAGCGAAGGCGCTTGTGGAGATCTGGAAGGGCGGGATTCATGACCATGTGGGAGGGGGTGTGGCGAGGTACTCGGTAGATGGAAGGTGGCATGTTCCGCACTGTGAGTGGATTCTAGTCTTTCCTGTTGTGTCGCGCTAATATGGAAAGATTCGCAGTTGAGAAGATGCTGTAAGTCCAAGATAACGATCTGAGGAAGTGGGGAGCTGACAAGATGATGGACAGGTACGACCAAGCACAGCTACTTGCCGTCTCTGTCGAGACAGCGCTCCTTTTCCCTCCCTCGGATACTGACTCCTCGTCAGAACGCCAGACGCTACTCGCGCTGGCACGTTCTATCCTCAGGTATCTTTCCGTACTCCAAAGCGAGGAAGGCGGATTCTGCAGCGCAGAGGACGCAGACTCGTTTCCGACATTCGAGAGTAAGACTAAGAAAGAAGGTCTGTAGCTAGTCTGGATCGCATAACATGCAGGGCAGAAAAGCTGACGAGCTGATAGGAGCGTTCTACACCTGGACTGCGAAGGATATCAAGGACGTGTTGGGCCAAGAGGATTCTAAGGTCTTCGCATATGCGTACGGGGTGAAGGAGGATGGGAACTGTGAGAGCGACAGCGACGCGCATGGGGAATTGAAGGACCACGTGGGTCGATTCTTCCCGCGGACGAAAACAGGAATACTGACTCGCTGTCGTGAATTATGATGCAGAACGTGTTGTATCTTGCTCATTCAGCCGAGGAGACAGCTACGGAGCTGGGCATGCCTGCTGAAGAAGTGGGGGTCGTTATTGAGAGGAGCCTCAGCAAGTTAAAGGAGTGGAGGGAGAAGAATCGACCCCGTCCGCACCTGGACGACAAGGCCGTGACAGGGTGGAATGGACTCATGGTACGCGTTCTCCACCCTAAGCTTCTTTTGGCGGTCATGTTGGCTGACCATCTCTGTGATGATCAGATCTCCGGCCTTGCCAAGGCGGCTGAGGTCTTTCAGGGCGAGGAAGCCGCGAGCGCGCTGAAGATGGCGGAGGACGCAGCTGCGTTTTTGCGGCAGCATCTGTACGACGAAACGACTGGAGAGCTGGCAAGGAGTTGGAGGGAGGGTAAGGGCCCGAAGGGGCAGGCGGATGACTATGCGTTCCTGGTTCAAGGTGCATGCTTGTTCCATCATACGATCGGCTGCATCGTAGAGCGATTACTGAACGAAAGAATCGTATTAGGGCTGCTGGATCTATACGAAGCGAGTGGGAAAGAAAAATGCGTTATGTGGGCAGTGCGCCTGCAGGAGACCCAGGATAGGCTATTCTACGACAAAGAGGGCGGCGGTTACTTCGCAAGCGCGCCTGATGAGTATGTCTTAGTGCGCATGAAGGATGCACAGGTGTGCTCTCATGATGACGGCTCTAGAGTGACACTCAAGCTAACGTCTTGTGTTAGGATGGAGCTGAGCCGAGTGCCGTATCGGTGACACTCTCTAACCTTCAACGCCTCGCGCATTTCGCGGAGGACAAACACAAAGAATACACTGAGAAGGCTCAGAGCATTCTCACGTCGAATGGGCAGCTACTCGAAGCCGCGCCATTCGCGCTCGCGACGATTGTCAGCGCGGCAATGGCCAGACAGAAGGGCTATAAGCAGGTGTGTATCCATGTTTTTATTACATTATTCCTGACGGAATGACATATTCATGCCTATTCCTTGTAGTTGATACTCACCGAACATCCTGCGCCCAACCCCGCCTCGCCATTCCTACAAGCCATCCGCGCGAGGTTCATCCCGAATCGGGTACTGATGCATTTCGACCCCTTGAGCCCGCCTCGGGCGCTGGCGAGTGTGAATGCGACTGTAAAGGGATTAGTGGAGGAGATCGAGCGGAAGGAGGAGGACGACATGGGTAAAAGCAAACCGAATGTAAAGGTGTGCGAGAACTTTACGTGTGGTCTGCCGATCACCGAGGTGGAAAGGTTGCTAGCCGTGTTGGGATGAGATAGAGGGGAACAGGAGACTATCAAGATGAGGTGCGAAACGGATGAAACGTGTATTCTGCATGATACTTCCGTGTTCCAGTATAGATCCCAGAAGCTTGCGATTGAAATATCGAACGCTCGCTCATATTTCAGAAAATATCTAAAACACCGATGTGAATGAACAGCGCCCAACGGAAGAAAGGTGGGGCTTGCCCGAGAGTGGCCGGCTCATCTGACGCACAAAAGTTTCTGTCGTGTTGGCGGCAGCAAGATGGGTGCCATGAACCCTCTAGTTCCTTCAAGCGCTAAGTCCGATTGGGCTGCGCACAAGTCATCTACGGGCATCCGAAGCTGAAGCACCAGCTTCACATGATAGTAGAATTTATCTGCAGAGGATGATTAACAGCACGTCACCTGAATGACGTTTAGTGGGTACTGTTCGATGGACAACAAAACAGAATATTAGTGATCAAACCCACTTCCATCTCCGATGACGATCGCCCGGTATCTACAATATATATAAGGGAGCGAGCATCGTCCGACATGCTCTCACTGAGACCTGTCGTCGCCCAAATAGTCCTGCAAGCATGATCCTCCCTACGCGTAAAATTGGCGAGCACGTCGTCTCTGCCATCGGCTACGGCGCGATGGGCATAGCTGCGTTCTATGGCAAGCCCTTGCCCGATGAGGAGCGTTTCAAGGTCCGTGTAGAATTGCTTGCACCAGTATCGTTGGCATTCAAAACATCCATTGTCATTGTTAGGTGCTCGATGCGGTGTATGAGAACGGATGCACGATGTGGGACACTGCAGATGCATACGCGGACAGCGAAGAGCTTATCGGGAAATGGTATGCTCAAAACTACATTTCTCAGGCACCTATTCATTCGCCTCCACTCATAGGTTCAAGCGTACCGGAAAGCGTAACGAGATCTTTCTTGCTACCAAGTTTGGCGTTAGATCTGGCGTCCCGAACAGGACCGTGAACGGTGACCCCGACTATGTCCACAAGGCATTCCAGAAATCGATCAGTCGTCTGGGCGTGGACTCGGTCGAGCTCTACTATTTGCACAGGTACATGATCATACGATCGCCACTTGAGTCCATTTGGTTGACGCCCTACAAACAGGGCAGATCCGACAGTGCCCATTGAGTTGACAGTCGGAGCGATGGCCGAGCTTGTCAAGTGAGCATCCTCATACCAGGATCACCATGTTTCCTCACCCGTGCTCCATCAGAGCAGGCAAAGTGAAATATCTCGGCCTGTCCGAGTGCTCCGCAGAGACCCTCCGCCGCGCACATGCCGTGCACCCTATTACTGCGCTCCAGGTCGAATACTCGCCCTTCACGCTCGACATCGAGGACGAGAAGATCGGCCTGCTGAAAACTGCCAGAGAACTCGGCGTCACGATCATCGCATACTCGCCCCTCGGGCGCGGCTTGCTGACCGGACAATATGTTAGTGCACCTTCTGTTTGTCGCCTTCTTCTGGCCGCTTGATGCTGACTAAAGAACTGAACTGCAGAAATCGCCTGATGACTTCGACGAGGATGACTTCAGACGCACGGTGCCGCGGTGTGTGACTGTACTGGCAAAGCGACATGCTCGATTGAACTGAATCAAATCGTCTTGACAGATACTCGAAGGAGAACTTCCCGAACATCTTGAAGCTCGCCGATGGGCTTGAACAAATTGGAGCGCGGCACGGTGCGACAGCAGGACAAATCGCGCTCGCATGGCTTCTCGCACAAGGGCCGGACGTCATACCTATCCCTGGCACGACCAAGATCGAGGTGAGTGCTCTCTTCACAGGCAGACAGGAGTAAAGAAAGTGCTGATCTTGAGCCACTCCAGCGCCTGAAAGAAAATCTGGGCGCAGCAAACATAAAGCTGACGCGAGAGGAAGTCGAGGAGGTGCGCAATGTGGCGAACAACGCACATTGCGTGAGCGGCGCTCGGTACCCGCCCCAGCTTGCTGCCGTTCTGTTCGCGGACACGCCTCCCCTCGTGAAGTAGGCGTCTCGGCGGATGAGCACTGCCTGAGAGCATGCTATCTTGAAACTCTGCGAATGTTCGGTATAATATGTTTCGCTTGAATGAGCCGTCCCAAATGACAACGTGAACCCTCATTGCGATCACAACGCCCTGCGACTCGCGCGCAGGCGGAAGGTGGAATCTACGAACCATAGTCCAAAGTGCGTAACAAGCAAAGTCCTAAAGAGTGATGTACATGGAAGGCGTTGCCAAGGAGGAAAGTTGGATGAACGAGCCCTGCCACATCATCATCGCGAACACCAGGACGGTGTCGTACGGTGACTGAAATCTCTGTTTTCATCGTAATCGTTCAGCCACATCAAACAGAGTCTGCCCCGTGCCGCCTGCACCCTGACCAAGCGTTGCAAGAGCGCTCCGACGAACTCCGCCAGCCGTGGCGTTGGTTTAAGAAAAGTGCATTCTATCCACACGGTGAAGACCAACCGCGGGTGAATGTCCACAATCCGCGCCAGGGCGGCATCAAGCTGCTCACAAGGCATGCTTGTGATATCTGGCTCGAATGTCGTAACCAACGTGATGTCGATTGACTGCAGCTTGGTGTGCATTGGCTGGATGTCGGCAAGGATTGAGAGCAAGGTCCGCCAGCTACTGGGATAAGGCGAGGCATAAAAGGAAACAGGATCACGCAATACAGTCGACATGTAGATTGAGACCAGGTTCGGATTGTGTGCCAGCGCTGAAGCTTGCTGCCCATCTGGTGAAGCGGAGAGGGTCTCGAGTGCCAAGTTGACGACAAGGTGCTCCAGACATTCACCAGATGCACGCAACAGGCCTTGGGTATCGCCCGTCCCGCGATGACTGATTGAAGTCAGACGGTCGATCGCCAGTCGACGTATGCGTAGCTTCAGGCCGCCCTGCAGCATCCATCTTACCACGGGGTCTGGCTTGCGGAGAGTGCATTGGAAAGTCTCGATCACTATCGATCTCGGGATGACCGTTGGAGGATGGGCGTGCGAGTCGTCGGAATTTGAGGTTAGTACTATCCGCAGCTCTAGGGAGGAGAGCAAGGGGCATGCGCAGATGAATCGCTGCAGGCTTACGACGTCGTTGACGATGGGGACGTGCAGGTGAAGAGCCTTCACCGCGGGCAGTTCCGGCCACGTTATAGGCTCCGTGGAAAAGTAACAATCGTCCCACGTGGAAACACAGAGGGTGAGCTCCTCCAGCCGGCCGAGAGGCGCCAGTATTCGAGGCAGAGAGGGTATCGAGACGGGGCAGCCACCCTCGAGCTCGTCGAGCATCAAGTTTAGCTTGCGGACGCAGAGCGCCAGTGCATCTCCCGACTGCAGAATCACATCCTCAAAGGCGACGCGCCGCGTGTTGCTGAAGATATGGATGGAATGAAAAAGATGTTTGCGCGTCTTGGGGAGCCATTCTCGCGTGACGAGGCTGCAGATCTGGAGGGTCTTATGGTTGTCCCATAGGTGATCGAGTATGTAGTCGCATATTTCGGAGGGCAGACGTGGCGATGGGAGACTCAGATGGTGGTCCATACCGGCGATGGAGGAGGGGAGCGTGCTACTGCAGCGAATGAGGGCGTTAGCACACAGACAAGGCATTCTAATGGATCACCTCTCTCACATGCGACTATTCAATAAGTAGTGACAAGCCTCAGGTGCGGCAGGTCTCTTGCGCACTGTGAACGTGCAGGGGCTGTGTTAAATGAGGCGAACGGTCGTCCATCAAATCTGTCCCATCGTCACGCGCAGCGCATGGTTGCAATTGACGCCCCGGGCCCTATCGAAAATGGATCGTAGTAGAAATCTACCGCAGCCCGCAGGAAACAACTGTTGCTTCAAACTTGATCTCTGGGAATGTTTGGTATGACCTGTTTCGCTTGAATGAGCCATCCCAATTGACAACGTAAACCCTCATTGCATCGCTCTGTATCGTGGGACAATGCCCTGCGACTCACGCGCAGTCGGAAGGTGGAATTTACCCCGAAGCGCGTAACAAGCAAAGTCCGAAAGAATGATGTACAGGGACTCGGAAGGTGCCAAGGAGGAAAGTTGGATGGACGAACCCTGCCACATCGTCACCGCGAACACCAGGACGGTGTCGTACGGTGACTGAACTCTCTGTTTTCATCGTAACCGTTCAGCCACATCAAACAGAGTCTGCCCCGTCCTGCCTGCACCCTGACCAAGCGTTGCAAAAGCGTTTCGACGAGCTCCGTCATCCATGGCACTGCTACAGGGGAACTGCTGGTTATGCACACGGTGACGATCAACTGCGGGTGTGTATCCACAATTCGCGCCAGGGCAGCATCGAGCTGCTCACAAGGCATCCTCGTGAAATCCGGCTTGGATGTCATAATCAACGTGATGTCGACTGACTGCAGCTTGGTGTGCATTGGCTGGATGTCGGCAAGGATTGAGAGCAGGCCCCGCCAGCCATTGGAGAACGGCTCGTCATCAGGGACGTCATCAGAAAACCCACACCATATGCTCGACACGTAGATTGAGACCAGGTTCGGATTGTGCGTCATCGCCGCTTGTTGCCTAACTGGTGAATCGGAGCGGATCTTGGTTTGCACTCTGACGACGAGATGCTCCAGACATTCACTAGATGCACGTAATAGGGCTTGGGCGTCGCCCTTCCTGAGAAAATTGACTGAAGTCGGATAATCGAGTATAGTAATCGCTAGTCGACGTATGCGCAGCTTCAGGCCACCCTGCAGCAGCCATCTTGACATGGGGTCTGACTCGCGGACACCGTATTGAAAAGTCTCAATTACTATCGATCCCGGGATGATCGTTGGAGGATGGGTGTACGAGCTGTCGCACTTTGAGGTATGCCGTATCTGGAGGTTCAGGGAGGAGAGCGAAGGACATGCACAGATGAATCGCTGCAGGCTTACGACGTCGTCGGCGTCGTTGATCTGCAAATGAACAGCCTTCACCATGGGCAGTACTGGCCATGTTATAGTCTTCGCGGGAGAGTAAGAATCACTCCATATGGTACCTTGGAGGGTGAGCTCCTCTAGCCGGCTGAGAGATGCCAGCGTTTGAGGCACGGAGACGGGAATTGTGGGGGTCCAGCTAACGAGCGTCCATTTCAACTCCAGCTTGCGGACGCAGAGAGCCACCGCGTTTCCCGAATGCAGAATCAAATCCTCAAAGGCGACGCGTCGCGGGTTGCTGAAGAGACGGATGGAATGGAAAAGATGTTTCCGCGTCGTGGGGAGCCATTCTCGCGTGACGAGGCTGCAGACCTTGAGGGTCTTGTGGTCGTCCCATAGGTGATCGAGTACGTAGTCGCATATTTCGGGGGGCAGACGTGGCAATGGGAGACTCAGATGGCAGTCCATGTCGGCGACGGAGGAGTTAAACGTGCTGCCAGAGCGAACAGAGGTATGAGTACACAGCCACTGAGGCATCTTCAACACTAACGGATGACCTCTCACACATGCGACTGTTCGATAAGTAGTGGCAAGCCCAAGACGCAGCAGCTCTCTGGCTCAGTGCGAACGAGCGGGAGTTGTGTTGTACGAGACAGACACCAGATGATTGACGTGGTCAGTGAGTAAACCGTGGTCAGCGAGCAAAAGAGCCAGCCACTTGCAATAGGCGCCCGGGGCTATCGTAGTACGACCCGCAGGAAGCAACTGTTGCTTCAAACTTGTGTATCTACTTCGTCGCAGTTCACAATGCAGCAACGCAGAATTCCAAGTTGTATAGATATCATGATACATCATCTAAAGCGTGTGAACGCCCGTTCAGAGTTTTGCATAGGACACGAGGTAGTTTTGACTCGGAAACCGTTATTAATAAATCAAAAACAGTAATAGAAAGATCAAGTCCGCCTGAGCACGCAGAAGGCCTCCACCCAAAAGGTAGAGGCAACTGACAGTGAACGGCTCATACTTGCCTCAACATGAAGACCGAAAGCTGCGCCAGACCACATTCGAACTCTTGCACTTCAGCAATACCGTTCATCTACATTAAAGCCAGTCTCCTGCACTGGGCCTGCATCCACGGCAGCTCATCCAGAAGAAATTCCGTGAAAGCTGGTAACCACGGCTGTGGTTTGCGGAGATCGTTGACCAACCAGAACGTAAGGACTTGCCGAGGACGAAACTCCATCACCCGTGCCAACGCCACATCGAGTTCTTCCCAGCGAGTATGTGTCGCGGCAGATTCGTTCGTCGGCTTGAGTGAGATGTCAATCGACCGAAGCTCGGTATATTGCATGGGTTGAACGTCGTTGAGAATCGGTTTTAAGCTGTTCCAAGCGTACGACACGGGTCATGAGACGTCGAGTACGTGAAGAAGGGAGACGAAATTGGGGTTGTGCACCAGTGCAGCACGAGACTGCTGGTTATCTCGAGGAATGGGACAGTATCGATCTCGCATGGTGACGACGAGGTGTTCTAAGGCGTTCGCCGGCTGCCTCTACCAGACCATGCATGTAGCCCGTCGAAAGCGAAAGTGCCGATGACGGCATACCGGACGTGGCAGGTCGATGCATGCGCACGCAGCTTCACTCTGTCCCGAAATTTCTATGCAAAGTTCACATTAGAGAAGGTCGAGGAGGTGCGAAAATTGGCGAATAATAGCATGCATTAGTACATGAACGGCACACGGTTCTGTATGCGGACACGCCTCCGCTCGGGAAGGAGGTATATTCGCAGACGAGCAGTCTGAGAGCACGCTATCTGGAATCTCTGGAGATTATGTATAACCTGTTTCGCATAAATGAGCTTTGAACTGTGGGACAAGGCCATGCGACTCACGCGCAGGTGGAATATAATCCGGTGGACTCTATGAACCATAGCCCGAAGCACGTAACAAGCAAAGTCCGAAAAACTGATGTACATGGAGGATATTGCCAAGAAGGAAAGTTCAATGGATGAGTCGTGCCACATCACCACCACGAACACCAGAACGGTGTCATACCGCGATGTAACTCTCTGGCCTCATCGTAACCGTTCAGCCACATCAAACGCAGTCTGCCTCGTCTCGCCTGCACCCTGAGCAAGCGTCGCGAGAGCGCTCCGACAAACTCCGCCAGCCATGGCATTGGTTTATCGCAATCATGGCATAGCTTATCCATACGGTCAAGATCAACCTCGGGTTGATATCCACAATTCGCGTCAGGGCGCCATCGAGCTGCTCCCAAGGCCTGCTTGTGATATCCGGCTTGAATCTCGTAATAAACGCGATGTTGATTGACTGCAGCTTGGTGTGCATTGGCTGGATGTCGGCCAGGACTGAGAGCAGGCTCGTCCAGCTATTGGAGAATTGCCAGTCATCGGGTAAACACCATACGTTCGACACGTAGATTGAGACCAGGTTCGGATTGTGCGCCAACGCTGCTTGTTGCCCATCTGGTGAATCGGAGAAGACCTCGGTTTCCAAGTTGATGACGAGATGCTCGAGACATTCACCAGATGCGCGCAACAGACTTTGGGCGTCATCTAAGCTGAAAAAATTGACCGGGGCCGGATTGTCGCGTACAGTGATCGCTAGTCGACACATGCGCAGCTTCAGACCACAGTACAGCAGCCATCTCAGCATGGGGTCTGGCTCATGGACACTGCATTGGAAACTCTCGATCCCATTGAGCCCGAGATGACCGTTGGAGGATGGGTGTGCGAGCTGTCGCACGTTGAGATTCTTCCTATCCAAAGCTTCAGGGAGGAGAGCGAGGGGCATGCGCAGATGAATCTCTGCAGGCTTACGACGTCGTTGACGATGAGGATGCGCAGGTGAAGAGCCTTCACCATAGGCAGTACCGGCCAATTTATAGTCTTCGCAGAAGAGCAACAATCGTTCCATATGTTATTTTGCAGCGTGAGCTCCTCTAGCCGGCCGAGAGATGCCAGCTTTTGAAGCACGGAAGGGGGATTCGGGAAGGAACAGTCATCCTCGTCGAGGCCGCATGTCATGTCCAGCTTGCGGACGCAGAGCGCCACCGCATCTCCCGAGTGCAGAATCACATCCTGAAAGGAGATGCGCTGCAGGTTGTTGTTGATGATACAGACGGAGTGAAAAAGATGTTTCCGTGTCATGTGAAGCCATTCCCGCGTGACGAGGCTGCAGATCTGGAGGGTTGTGTAGTCGTCCCATAGGTGATCAAGTATGTAGTCGCATATTTCGGGGGGCAGACGTGGCGATGGAAGATTCAAATGGTGGTCCATGTCGGCGATGGAGGAGTTGAGCGTGCTGCCAGAGCGAACGGAGGTGTCAGCGTACAGACAAGGTAATCTCAGGGATTACCTCTCTCACGTGTGACTGTTCGATAAGTAGTGACAAGCCTCAGGCTCTGGCTCACTGTGAAGTCGGAAGGCACTCGGGGTCTCTCGGGGTACTTCATGCAATGCGAAGCCTACCTTCAGCCATTCAGCCACAGCGGGGTTTGAATATGAAAGAAAAAGTTGATTGACCTCAAGTATCGACAATGCAAGGCATTGCAAGCTCTTAACTCATACTTTGAATTGTGGGACAAGGCCCTGCGGCTCATGCGCAGGCGGAAGGTAATTTGCTGGAATCTACAAACCATAGTCCAAAGTGCGTAACAAGCAAAGTCCGAAAGAACGATGTACAGGGACTCGGAAGGTATTGCCAACGAGGAAAGTTGAATGAACGAACCCTGCTACATCACCATAGCCGATGGGACCAGGACCACGACGGTGTCATAGGGTAACCTGACTCCCTCTTCTCATTGTCCCCGATCAGCCACATCAAACAGAGTCTGCCTCGCCCCGCCTGCACCCTGACCAAGCCTTGCAATAGTGCTTCGACGAACTCCGCCAGCCATGGTTTGACATGATGATCGGAGGATATAATCCATATGGTGAAGACTAAGCGCGGGTGGATATCCACAATACGCGCCATGATGCCATCGAGCTGCTCCCAAGGCATGCTTTTGCTATTCGTGGTGATATCACATAGCGTGATATCGACTGACTGCAGTTTGGTGTGCATTGGCTGGATGTCGGCAAGAATTGAGAGCAGGCTCGGCCAGTCTGTGGAGGATGGCAAGTCATTGTATGAACAACAGAGCACCTTCGACACGTTGATTGAGACCAGGTTTGGATTGTGCGCCAACGCCGCTTGTTGGCCCGCTGGCGAAGCGGACAAGGCCTCACGTGCCAAGTCGACGACGAGATGCTCCAGGCATTCACCAGATGCGCGCAACAGGCCTTGAGCGTCGCCCATCCTGAGAAAATCGACCGAAAGCGGATCATCGCATACATTTGTGATCGCCAGCCGACGTATGCGCAGCTTCAGGCCACCCTGCAGCAGCCATCTAAGTGTGGGGTCTGACCCACAGACATTGCAACGGAAAGTTTCGATCACTATCGATCTCGAGATGACCGTTGGAGGATGGGTGCGCGAGCTGTCGCGCTCTGAGGTTCCTCTTATCACGAGCCTCAGGGAGGAGAGCGAGGGGCATGCGCAGATGAATCGTTGCAGGCTCACGACGTCATTTAAGGTGCAGATGTTCACGTAAAGAGCGTTCACAATGGGCAGCACCGGCCACGTTATAGTCTCCGCAGAAGAGCTGCGATCGTCCCACACGGAATTGTTGAAAGCGAACTTCTCCAGCCGGCCGAGAGACGCCAGCATTCGAGGCACGGAAGCGGGGATCGGGAGGGAACAGAGACCATTCCTGAGGTTCCAAACCAAGTGCAGCTCGCGGACGCAGAGCGCTACCGCATCTCCTGAGTGCGAAATCACATCCTCAAAGGCGAGGAGCCGCAAGTTGATGATTAAGACGAAATGGAAAATATGTTTCCGCGTCCTGGAAAGCCATTCTCGCGTGACGCGGCTGCAGACCTTGAGGGTCTTGCGGTCGTCCCGTAGGTGATCGAGAATGTAGTCGCATATTTCGGGGGGCAGACGTGGCGATGGGAGATTCAGTTGGTGATCCATGTCTGTGATGGAGGCCTGAGTTGAGCGTGCTGGAATGAACGGACGGAAGTGTCAGTACACAGACGCTGATTCAGAGGCTTCAACGTTTCAACACTAACGGGTGAGCTCTCTCACATGCGACGTAGTGACCAAGCTGTTTAACTTATAGTATGCTGGAGTAGAAGACGGCCTTGTTCAGGCTAGAGGACTTGGATCTATTCGCGCTGTAGCTACTCAGTATATATACATGTGGGATGAGACCCTGTACACCGTTCATGGACCTCTGGTACCTACAGTAACGTGATACTTACATAGATGAGTAATATCATGCTAATACATTTAGCCCAGTGGCAACAGGTATTGTCCAATGGTATATTACTCTTTTGTCAGTGTCCATATCGTATGATTCTGTCGGATTATACGATTGGTTCCTATGAATGGAACACTCCTAGATGTCTCCAGAACCTTCGGTGAGTTTCTATGACATTCTATTCCCTGCACATGACTGTCACGTCACGTCGTACATGATCGATCGTGTAGATCATACCAGGATACAACCGTTCCTTCAACACCCTCTCTTGATCGAACAATTGAGTCAAGCATGAGTGAGGTGAATATAGCGTGATAGCTTTTCTATCCTTAGATAACCAAGATTTTTGGTAAGCAGATCCACATATTGTTCCTCAGTGGGAACATGATAGAGAGTAATTGACCCTCTCTCAACCTCATGGCGTACACGGTGGTAACGTAGATCGATGTGCTTTGTTCGACAGTCATGAGCTGGATTGACAGCCAGAAAGATTGCTCCTTGGTTATCGACACAGAGTGGGAGTGGCATCCCTGTGCTAAATCCTAGTTCAGACTCAAATGATCAAAGCCAGATTGTCTGCTTAGAACAATCAGACAGTGCAATATATTCTGCTTCGGTGGATGACAGAGCCACAGTGGGTTGCCTCCGTGTGTCCCAACAGTGTCCCAACACACCGGTCCTTCAGCCATCAGAAATAGGTATGCAGATGTCGAGCGTCTGTCATCTCTGTTTTCTGCCCAGTCTGAATCAGAGTATCCGATTAGACCAGCATTGGAAGTTCCATAATACATGAGTGCATATGACTCAGTATGGCTGAGGTAACGTAGGATTCACATAGCATACTTCATGTGTTCCTCTGTGGGGTGATTGTTAAAATGTGATAGCCTGTTGACTGCATAGGCTATGTCCAGTCGAGTACCAAGGGCGATCCACAGTAGTGCACCAATGACTGATTGGTATCGATGACGAAGCTTCATATCAAGATGATGAGCATCGCTGGCTTTCTCCAACTTGATACCGGATGATAAGGGTGACCTTTTGGGTGCACAATTCTTCATTCCAAACTGATCAATAGTCTCTAGTATATATTCTGATTGGTCAATACGGATAATACAAGCGGATCGATCTCATTGAATCCTCATTTCTAGGAATTGGGAAATGGGACCAAGGTGCTTGATTTCAAATTGTTTTGATAACCCTTTGATAAAGGCTTGGATGTGTTTCATCTTACTTCCCATAGGTAGTATATCGTTGACATAAATGATTAAAACGAGTGACTCCCCCTTGTGTCGGCGATTGATGTAAACGCCAGCATCAGATTCAACTCGTTGGAAGACGAGTTCCAGTAAGGCAGCATGTAGTTTCTTATTCCATTGTCTGCCAGCTTGTTTCAAGCCATATATCGCCTTTCTGAGGTGGCAGACTTTATCTTCCATCCCGGGAACTACAAAACCCTCGAGTTGTTCCATATAAATTTCTTCTTCCAGTTCACCATATAGGAAGGCAGTCTTTACATCAAGGGCTTTTACCTCCCAATCATGTAAAGCTGCATGCACTAAGAGAAGTCGTAGTGATTCAAAGCGTGCAACTGGAGAGAAAATCTCATCATAATCTATGCCGGCTTGCTGCTTAAAGCCTTTGGCAATGAGTCGTGCTTTATACCGTGCACCAGGTTTGACAACATAAACCCATCGACAGGGAATGGCTTTACGACCTTTAGGAAGATCTACCAGTTCCCAGGTACCATTGGCCATTTGAGATTGAATCTCATCCTCCATAGCATCTTGCCAATGATTACAATCATGTCGAGCCATGGCTTGCTTATAGGAGGAAGGGCTAGGACCATAGTCGGGATCTGCAGATAGAATGAATTCTGCTGGTAATTTTCTAGGAGATGCATGGAAGAGAGTGCTTTTTCTATGACAAGCCGTTCTACTTCAGAGAGTGTAGTGACGTCAAGATGATCAATGATGTCGTCAAGGTCTCTTTCAATTTCGACAGGTGGTCGGTCTCCATAGGCATTATTTGGCTTGGGTTTATATTTGGGGAGTCGCTTAGATCGTCGAACTGTAGTATATGGTCAGTTCGCGGTAGGATTGAATATAGGAAGGCTTTCTCCCTGATCATAGACAACATGTGGATATTGTTCATCTTCAGGGTGCATCCGTGGATGTGAGAAATGCCTCTCAGAGGAGTGATCTGATATTGATCCCTTCCTTTTACTTCCGGCAGTGTATGCTGGAAATCCTGGATGTGGTATGTAAGTCTACCTGTACATCTGGTGTGACTCGCTGTGTGGGCATGGGCAGATGCAGTGCAGATTGAGGCATGTTACTGCTACCGTCATCCTGTTGAAGACTGAATTCTGGGGCATGATCGTTTCCTGAAGTGTCTCTTTGTTTGCCTTTAGCAGCAGCAGGAATTCGATCACTATCATCCTCATCAGAATCGGACGAACTAGAAGACGATGAATCTTCTGTCTCAGTCTCAACTGTAGCACGCAGAGCTCGTGGAGTGGTCTCCCCCTTAGAGTGAGGAGCCGATTTCTCAGGAGTTCTGGATAAATTGGAAGATGTTGGAATATCCCCTGAGGGGCCTTCTGAACTGGTTTCAGAATGAGTATGCTCAGGCAAATCTTTTCAGTACGTGAAAGAGGTCTCGTTGAAGTGACCATCTCGAGAGATAATGACAGACCAGGATGAGCTATTCCAGAACCTGTATCCTTTGGTTCCTGTTTCATACCCGACAAAGGTCATTGGCACGGCTTTAGGGTATACTGTAACTTCCCATGCCTTTGCTCTTCATGTACCATTACATTGGCTTTACATCCAAATGTTCGCAGATATGAAAGATCCGGCACTTTGCCTTCCCAAAGTTCTATTGGTGTCTTCCAGTTCAAACGCTTTCTTGGGACGATTGACAACATGAATAGCTGTGTCGACTGCTAGCTTCCAGAAGCCATCACTCAAGCCTGCATGGTGACACATGGCTTCCGCATGTCGTACAATAGTTTGTTGCCATCATTCTGCTCTTCCATTTTGTTGTGGTGTCATTGGCACAGATGTCTGATGCTCAATGCCTTTTTCTCTCATATAATAATCGAATTCTTTAGACATGAATTTGCCACCTCGATCAGATCAGAACCGCAAAACAGTATTATTTTGCTGACGTTCAGCCCACGTCACAAATGACTTGAAAGCCATAAGGGTATCTGATTTGTGTTTGAGGAAATACATCCTTCCGAATGATGAGTAATCATCCAGAAAGGTGGCTGCCCATTTGAATCCATCAAGAGATAGTGAAGGAAACTCTACTAAGTCTGAATGGATGAGCTCTAGTACTCTAGTAGCTCTGGACGTTGATTCTTTAAATGGAGATCGTCTGAACTTTCTCAATGAGCAATCATGACAAAGATTATTAGGTAGGTTCTTTGCCTGGAAGGCTACACCTTGTGTTGCCTTGGGTACATGGATAAGTATGTCCCTGCTTGGATGCCCTAGATGATTGTGCCATAGAGCAAAGTCATGTGTTTGAACAGCAGCAATCACTCCTTCGGATGAGGGTATTGCTTTCTGCAGAACTCTGCCACATATGTAGTTGAAACCAGTGCTTTCATCATGATAGTTGGATGTTACTATATGATGCCCGTTAACCTTTTGGAATGTAATACCATGACGGGATGCGGTATACTTTCCGCCCTGATCAATGATTTGTCTGGGACTAAAATAGCGGCCTTCTGCCTTGGGTACAATCAGGACTTTCTGAAGTATCAGAGTCCTAAGATCCTTTGTTGTAGGATCATATACTTTTATCATGACGATACTGCATCCCTCAATCTCAATTGAGTGATTGCCACCGACAAGTCTTGCTTTACCAGGTGTTGAGAACTTACGATATTCGATACAATCAGTGAAGTATGGCATCACATGTGATGTGCACCCTGAATCAATCAGCCAACTGCTTTCCAGATCATGCATTTTATATAAGTCTATATCAATAGATATTTGCTCAATGGATGCTAGTACAGGTACATGCTCCAGGCGCAGACTATATACAGATGCAGATATGTCCAAAAAAGACTTAGACTGTGACGACAATCCCAGTTGAGAGAGTGGCTGCAGACTTTGAAGTCCCACCGTTAGATCCCCCACCTGATCTGAAGAGTCAGTAATTGATTGCAAATTAGCAGCAGTAAAATTACCTTGATTCTGGGCAGGTTTTTTGCCTTTACCCTTTCGCTTGCCGTGCTTGTTCGCAGGCGCCTTCCCTTTAGCATTGTCCTGGTTTTTTCCCTTAGGCTGCCAATTATCCACATGTTGTTCAGTGGTATGGCCTGCCTTCCCGCATTTGCCACAAGGGCCTTTGCGGGTGACCTGGGAGATTCGTCCAATGGACTCTCCCTTACGACGATTTTCCTCGTCGATGATCTTAGAAATAAGATCCTGAGGCTTGGCAGTGGCCAGGTCTAATCCCACAAGGAGATTCGTGAGCACATTGCCATAGCTGGGGGGTAAGGACCTTGCGAGAATCATGGTGGCCCAGGAGTCCTCAATCTTAAAACCAGATTTGGTGACACGATTCCTTTGTGTCTCCAAGTCGTCGATCTGCTGTCGAAGTGACTTTGAATCGTCCATCTGGGTATTCATGTACCCGATGACGAGATTCCAGGTTCCAAGTACGGATTCCGTGCCGTAAACTGTTTTAAGTTTCTCCCATGCATCAAGCACGTGGGTTACTCCTTCCAAATGTAAGTGCAGCTTTTGCTGCGTCTAAACCATGATGATACCGAGAGCTTGTTGATCGTCATCATCTCATTCTTTTTGGGCGTCGTCGTCAACAGGGGTAACCGTGACAGTGGATGGATCAACATCAGCGGCTGCCA